GGAGGGCAGAAGCCAGGCCCTTGCTGCTCCCTGTCCCCTGGCGCCGACGCGGGAGGCCTGGCTTTGGTGCCGCAGTCTGCCCTGGCGCCCGTCCCTACGAAGGGAGGTCAAGTTCCCGAAAAGCGGCTTCGGCTGAGTCTGTCTTTTATTCAAACCTTGCTTAGTTTTTATGTTCACACTCGTGGATTTATTCTTTTTTTCTAATCACAAAGGTAGCGTTCTAAAAATCCTGGGAAACACAGACAATTGGTGAACTGTCCAAACCCCCGACCTTCCCTGGGCCTCAGCGCCCCTCCCAGCCTCCAGGAGTCTCCCATATTCTCTCTCGGGGGCTGGGAATTACAAATATGGTTCATTCTTTAAAATATACGTTTATTGATTTCAGAGAGGAAGGGAGAGGGAGAGGGAGAGAGAAACATCGGTGATGGGAGAGAATCATGGATCGGCTGCCTCCTGCACGCTCCCCACTGGGGATCGAGCCCGCAACCCGGACATGTGCCCTGACTGGGATATGGTTCATTCTTAATCTTTAAAAAAATCCACACCAAGCAGAAGAACAGATTAAAAAACAGGAACCCCCCCCCCACAGCCGCCCCCCCAGGACGGCCGGGAGCAGCCTGGGGCCCCCCTCCCCCCGCCCCTGCCACACCTGGGGGAGCGCCCCTGTGGCCTCCTGGTTTCCACCCCGAAGTGACGCCTGCTGACCTACCTTTCTGCCTAACATTTGCATCATCAACACCCCAAACCGCCCGCCCTCATGCGCTGTGGCCTGTTTTTCAGAGCGGAGACCGAGAGGGGCCTCTCCCGGAAGCACATCATAGAAGGTGAGGGGCCCTGAGCCCCAGGGTCCTCCCTGGGTGCAAAACGGAGGGTGCACACCCACCCCTCCCAACGAGCACAGCCCCAGGCCTGGGGACACCCGCTCCTCCGTGTCCCGAGGGAGGGCAGGGGTGTGGGCAGGGTGGGGCCTGTGTCGGCCTGGGAGGGACAGTGTGGCCTCCGGGCAGGACACAGACAGGCCTGGCTTTCCATTCAGTGCTGATGGGGAGTGAGCGCTGTCACTTCCCCAGGCCTCTGAGGCGGCTCAGGGAGAGCACCGCCTGTGGGGGCCCCAGGAATGGGGAGCACCCAGGCGAGGGTGGATGTCAGACACGGCCCGAGGGGCTCAGCACCCGGAGCACAGGGCCGGGTCAGCCAGCGCAACCCTCTTCCACTGTATTTTCCGTGTCTCCTGCCTTTTCTGTCCTCATCATGTTCATCCACTAACAGATGATTGGGGGGCCTGGCCACCCTGGCCCCAGCCCAGCACCCACTCCAGCTCTGCTCTGACCCCGCCGGGTACAGGGTCACGACTGGTGCGTCTCAGACGCCCTCGGCCTTGGGTGCGGTGGGCGCCACACGTCCTGCCCCTCCCTCCCTGTCACCCCACGGGCCACGGGAAACCCGGGACGGTCCCCCCACATCCCAGCTCAGGACATTGGCTTCCTCCCCTGGCCTCCACAGCCCCCAACTGCCGGCCTCTCCCTTCCACCTCTGGCTCGGGCGGCGGCCCCGGCAATCTGTGATAACGGTGACCCTCCCTCCCACTCCTCCCAGGTCTGAAGGCCTCCCTGGAGCGGCTGCAGCTCGAGTATGTGGACGTGGTGTTTGCCAACCGCCCGGACCCCAACACGCCCATGGAAGGTGGGTTCTCCGTCAGCTGGCCCAGAGGTCCTACCCTGAGGCTTGAGGGCCTCGGCACAGGCCCCGCTGGGCACCCAGGCCAGCGGGGAGGGGAGGCCAGGCCTTTGGGGTGGAGAGAGCGGGCAGGACGGCCTGAGCTCAGCCCCAGACTCCCCCCACCCCCCAGCCGGGGGCACCTGGCACACCTGGGTCCACGCCTGATCCACCGGGTCCCCGTCCGGGGTTCAGGGCTGTGGCATGCTCTCCCCTCCCGGCTGTTAAGAGTTTGCAGCTCAGTGGGGTCACAAGATGATGGCTCGTTGCAACTGCTCCTCCTTTCCATCACCTTCCCCGAGGCCTCCCTCTTGCGCTCGGCTCCTTCGAGGAGAAAAGACATGCAGGGCTTCGCAGAGCGGTTTTAGTTTCTTAGGCGCTTAATTATTCTTTCGACTCCCGCGGCCACCCCCTCCCATCTCCCTCAGCCTCCTGCTTCAGACCTCTCATGTGCTTTCCTGCTTCAGGGACTTGGAACGTTAGGTGTTCAGTTATTTTTCCTTCATTTGTTGACATATGTGTATATATGTACACCGTGTGTGCACGCGTGTATATATATATATATATGTGCGTGGGGTTTTTAACGCGAATTCTGCGGAAGTGATTTGTGCCTCCCTCCCGCGCCCTCTGTCATTCCGCGCCTCCCCGTGTTCCCACAGCTGTCGACTCTGGTCTCTAAATCTTTCTTTTATCACCAGGGGACCCATTTAGTTCCTCCAAGTCCAGGACATTCATCATAGAAGGTACCCAGTACCCTCGCCGCCGGCCATTGACCTGTGTCTGAGCTGCATTTTATGAGGCAGTGGTTTTATTTACACGACTCTTCCCCCAGGACAAACTCCTCCATAAAATGCAAAAGGGAAACTCAGTGCCCGCCGGCCGCTGTCCTTCATTCTCCGCCCTCTGTGCATGCCCCGCCCCCCGCCTGGCGCTGCTGAGGTTCTGGGGCGGCCGCGGGCCCCTCCTGAGCGGGGGATGCTGCGATCAGGGCCTAAAACCTTGGCGCTGGGTGGGCCGAAGCAGGGCTGGGGGAGGCCAGGGTCCCACCGGAGCAAACACATCAGGGATCCCAGAGCATGTGGCCCCCACAAGTCTTCTCCGTAATTCATGTTTGCTAAGCTCCTGCCCCAACCAGAAGCCATGAACCCCATGCGAGCTGCGCCCACAGCGCCTGGCTCCTCCGTGAGCGTCCTGGCGGGCATGGTGCTCGTATCCCTGGGAGGGCTGGCCACCTGCCACTCACCCCTTCCTGTGTGGCCTGACCCCCCACTGGAATGGAACATTGTCCTCCTAGAAGGACCCCCTCATGAGCCGGGAAACTCGAGACCCGGGCAGCCTCTGGCCCCAGGACCCCACACCACAGCAGGCCACAGCCTCCCGGGGGCCTGGGCTGAGTTCCACGGTGGCAGGGCTCCTGCCTGCCAACTGGCACTGCCACCTGACCCCGCCCATGTATTATTTGTGACACGGCAGGAGATGCCAGGGGTCTTGGCAGCAGCTGCAAGGATTTGTTCGGCAGCATTAAATATTGAGGCGAAGGACAGGCCCCTTACTGCCCCTGTGTCTGGGGCACTGACATCACACGTGGGCAGAGGGCAGAGCGCCATGGTCCGTGTGAGGGCACCATGGTCCCGGGTGTGGGCTCTGTGCCCACCTGCCACCGCCTGGGACCCTCCGGGAACCCAGCAGCCTGGGCCCAGGCCACCCGCTGTCAGGGCCGCCACGGGCTC